GTTATTTTCTTAGCTATTATATTGTTACAATGCTGTTATTTTCTTAGCTCTTTTATTGTTACAATGCTGTTATTTTCTTAGCTATTTTATTGTTACAATACTGTTATTTTCTTAGATATTTTATTGTTACAGTGCTGTTATTTTCTTAGATATTTTATTGTTACAGTGCTGTTATTTTCTTAGCTATTTCATTCTGTAGTATATTCTAACAATGATATGGATTTGGTTTTGAGCTTTGATGATTATTATACCTATTACCATTTTTGTTTAATTTAAACCTAAAATGAGACATAAGTTAGTTTAAACGCCTCTACTTTTGCGTGGTTTTGTCATTTTCATTATTCACTGAAGACTGTAACTTGGAGTTCTACTTTGAACCCTGTCAGATCGTTTCGTAATGTTACTTAGTTCAACGTCATTCGTCCCAAAATAACAGGATAATAACTGGCAAACGTTATTTCTGAAACTTCAAATATTTTGGTATAAAAACTTAAATTTAAGGAAAAGTTAAAATACTAACTTTGGAAAAACCAATTCCTCCCGTTTTATTATTTTTAGCAGGGTGTAGATAAAAGCTTCCCAGAATTCTTCGGGTGCCACGTACAATAATCGCGTACTAGAAATTATCTACGATTTTTTGAATGGTTTTTAAGCATTATTGTTTGTTTCCTGTGAAATAATGTAATTGAATTAAAGTAAAAATAAAAACTGGATATTTGTACGAAATGATTTGATGGGTGTTATAGAATAGTCTACAAGATTAAACTACAATACGAATATGAAAAATACTGCAAGATTATATGTGGTATTATTCGTGATAAGATTTTTTTTTGAACTTTCAGAAATTTGTTTGCTGACCAATGCCCGAAGAGTCGCCAGTGTTCGAGCAGAGACTTACTGTAATCTGTTTTCATTGTCAGTCGAACACTTCAACGCCGTTCTTGACATCTATCCTTTAATGAGACGAACAATGGAATCAATTGCAGCTGAAAGACTGAATAAAATTGGTAAAAACCCGAGCATGGTGAGCCAAAGAGAAGACTTGCAGAGTGACTTGAACACAGTGAACGCTATCTTATTATCCCATCAAACCCCCAGTAGTGAGGACTCGGGTGACAAGAATGAATTGACCATTGCCGCTGCTCTAAAGAGCACCATCCCGCGTCCTAAGTCCGAGAGTTGTTTCCCCCGTATAGATTTTGGACGTTTCGAACCTTCTTCTCTTCCAAGGTCGGAAACATTCTACCAGTCTCTTAACAACACACCTGCGGAGACCACCTTTCAAGCCTGACAGCACCTGAGTCGCCACAGGGTGAAGACAAGTATTAATTTTGTTTTGATAGTGCCGAAAGTTGCCTGAAGTATGGAATATTAGAGATGCACCAATTTGAAGTTTATGTGACGTAGCAAATACAAGTTTTCAATCGTTCTTCCTTTGTGCTCTTGGAAATTAATTCTGGAGGATGCAATAGATAAGATGCCTACACAAGAGGAAGTTTTGAGGAAAGACACTCCTAATGAGTGAAAATGAATTTCACGGTTCACAAAACACGAAAGTTTAAAATCCAAACAACATAACTTATTTCCAACATAACTTACAACGTTTCAGATTACGTTGGATGTAACTTACAACGTTTCAGATTACGTTGGATGAAAGATAAAGTATTCTTTACTCTAAGAGCATCTAATCATTTATAGAGGGAGTCGTGAGTTTGTGAGACATTTTCACTTGGATTTAATTCCTTTCCATCAACTCGCTACACGGGAATATGAGTCACTCCCTTTTGACAAAAAATAATAATTATTTTAAAACACTTTTACTTCAGTTAAGGACGATTATGTAACGCTCGATATTTCTTGCATAATATATTTGGGGGGTGGGGGTGGGGTGAGAAAATAAAAAAAAACATTCTGGAGCGCCGGTGGTTCATCCTGATTGTTGTTCTCCGATATCCAACGACCTCATAACTGATACTAATCTTAAGAATAGATTTGTGTGTGATAACTAATCTTATTGAATTTCACAAAATACTGCTCTTTGCTTCTTGACCATAAGGGACGTCAATCTGTGTTGAAAAGCTATGCAGTTTTAAGCCAAAATTTCTAATACGATCGACTCAACCCTGTCCTCGTGGTTGTAAAATAGGTGCTTTAGAAGGATGAACAACCATAGTCAGGCTTTCGTCTTGTCCGTAGTGCTTATACTTAGTGCTCAATTTGCAGATGCAAACGTTCGTATTGGTAGTTCCTTACTGTGATCGATGTTATGCTTTATAACACTCTCATTTCACTCCAAGGAAAGATATTCGTTTCACACTTCCGCAATAGCAAGGAAAGATATTAGTTTGACACTTCCGCAATAGTTGTAAACAATGGTTGGCTTCAGGTCACACCAATTTCCAAAAAGGCATGTATAGAGCTCCTGTAAAAAGTGGCTTTCCTAACTGTTAGAAATATACAATACAAATATTTGTTTTACGCCAAGTCAAATATACGAGTATAACAATGTCATAACCTCGAAGCAGCTTCAAGGTTGCGCAAAAGTCTGAAATGAAAATTTACAGTGTTTCATGTTTGTAAAAATAATTCTAATGTGCAGTGGAGAAAAACAGACAAAATAAATAATAATAAATACAACGTGTATTCCCAATGTTTCGCTGCATCAGTTTTATCAAAGAATAATTGTATCACACCAACATGGCTGATTTAACTAATATGTACTAGAAAAAACAAAATTAATTCATTATACAATCCGCAAATTCATGATTAAATCTATAAAAGGTAAGTCTGAAATTAACGCCTACTAGTGGCTCGGTGGCAAGTCTGCATGCTTATTACGCTAAAATTCGGGTTTCGATACCCGTGATTTTGGGTAAGCACAAAATTACATAATGGGCTATCTGTGCTTCGACTACCAAACAATATGATCTACGACTGAAAAAAGACACTAAATCCAGATCATGGATTATATTGGTTTACATAATTATCCGTTGATAAAGCGGATTCAGCGAAACGTTGGAAATAAAAAAAAATAATTTTTTGTGGTGGTTAAGACTGTATATAATAAGTTGTACAAAATGTACAATGATCCGCCGATGATTTAATAAGTTAGAATGAAATTTTTCGAGTGACATTTACAGTACAGCCAGATAATGACGGGAATACAAAAGGGAAAGACTCAGTAACGATCTGATTTAGTCTATAGTATTATTTCTGATGTTTCTTGAAGGTTCTTTTGTTGAATTTACTTTGAGAAGTCTGATGCGAATGTCTGGCAGGTTTGCTTGGAATGACGTTTTATGATTTTAACAGAAATATTTCTAATAATGTTTGGATTTGTAGAAGTTATAAGTGCTAAACACACTAGCAAAGAGCACGTGTAAACAGACTAATATCCGTAACAGAGACACTTGTCATCATTTTTACTTGCAAGGTCGCGCTTAAATTAGACCCCCAACATGTTAGTTGGTTGGTTTTCGTTAAGCACAAAGTTACACAACGGGCTCTTTGTGTTGCACCGATATTCTAGAGACTTACTAGTAGTCACTGAGGTGGTGGTGGTAGGGGTGTGTGGGGGACTTTCCAATAAGTAAAATGGGTATTGATCAACTGCTATCCTTTAAATATTCAAACTTCTGTTCAGGAACAAACTGGATCAGCGAATTGCTGGTTTCTATATTCCTTATACAAACTATCAAAAAAATTTTGGAAGTAGCATCCTAAAAATAAACCCATAAAATATTTAAATTTTCCGATAATTTTACTCACTGCAGCTAATCCATAGTTTCTCACCCTGATCTATTTGATAAGCTATGATTTATCATACGAAGTTCTAAATCACGTCACAACTACTACTGTCCTTGTTATTTTTTTTGTATGCCTAATATGAGGGGTCTATAAAGATATATTGGGCTGGCATGGCCAGGTGGTTAGGGCGTTTGACTCGCAATATGAGGTTCGCGGGTTCCCGCCCCACCAAACATGCTTGCTGTTGTTGTTTTTTGTTGTTAAGGACAAAGCTGCACAAAGGGCTATCTGTGCTCTGCCCACCACGGGTATCGAAACCCGGTTTGTAACAGTATAAGTCCGCAGACATAAACGTGCTTGCCCTTTAAGTCGTGGGGGGTGTTATAATATGACGGTCAATAGCACTATTCGTTGGTATAAGAGTAGCCCAAGAGTTGGCAGTGGGGGGTAATGACTAGCTTCCTTCCTTCTAGTCTTTCACCGCTAAATTAGGGACGGCTAGCACAGATAGCCCTCGTGTAACTAAAGATATAATGTTAATTCTCTGATAAAGTTTGAATTGTATATCTACCACTGTTTAAAGTTTAAACTGTAAAGTCTTCCTTCACGTAGTTAAAGATAATTATGTGATTAGTTTGAAGCAAAAAAAAAGATCACTTTTAAAACTTTGTCGCATTAATTGTGACTACTTTAGTTTCATAGTGAAGGTTACGAAATCCTATAGAAAATATTACATACAGGCTTGAGAAATGCATTGATGCATTGGCTTGTTTTTTATTGTTGTAAATTTGTGTATAAAAAGTTTTTTTTTCTCTTATGATACGTAAAAAAGGAACCTTAGTTGAAGTTAACATCTCTTATGAATAGCTAAAACTATTTTCCCAAAAAGGCGGCACAAGTTGAGTGTTTAAAAATTAAGTTATACGAAAAATCTTAATTCTTAAAATATATTGGATTTTTTTCTATATCTTGATGAACACAAATTCTACTATTATTCGTTAGTTTCCATTCTGACAAAATCATCTTTATCGTTCGTTATTAGATTCATTCTCTTAATGAAAGGACCGCGGATCGTAAGGTCCAGGGTTCAAGCCGCACTTTCAGCTGTGGAGGAAATATAACAATGACAGTCGACCCCGCTATTCGGCTATAAGTAGCCGCATAAACTGCTGGTGTTGCTTATTGGTTGCCTTCGTTTTGGTCAGCAGTTCTAAGTTAAAAATTACTATATCTGAACGTTAAAGGTCTCTGATGTGGCCGTTTAGCGTATATGTCGAATAATTTGTCGTTCAGGTTCAAAACACCAATACCTCATGATATCATAACGAAATGTTTTATACTTGTTACGTGTTCGATCCAGCTACTGATAAAATATACCAGATCTACTTCCTATATCTACCATCTTTATAGTAGTAAACAATGTCTATCTTCCTATACCTACCATCTTTATAGTAGTAAACAATGTCAATCTTCCTATATCTACCATCTTTATGGTAGTAAATAAGGTCTATCTTCCTATATCTACCATCTTTATAGTAGTAAACAATGTCTATCTTCCTATATCTACCATCTTTATAGTAGTAAACAAGGTCTATCTTCCTATATCTACCATCTTTATAGTAGTAAACAATGTCTATCTTCCTATATCTACCATCTTTATAGTAGTAAACAATGTCTATTATCCTATATCTACCATCTTTATAGTAGTAAACAAGGTCTATCTTCCTATATCTATACAAAAACTTAAAGGAAGAGTCCTCTATCCTGTTCCTTAGATTTAGATTCTAGTTTACATCGAAACTGACAATATAACCATCTTCTGATAACCTCTAAAAAGATAAACTTCATCCTCCTTTATAAATCATCCTGATTATAAGAAACTTATCTCTACCTATCCTCTCTTGTACATTCCACTGCACTAGTAACAAAACAGGCTATGTTTATCGTCTTTGCCTTTTGTCATTATGCTTAACCACACACATACACTTAAACATACAAGCTCTACAGTTTTGTTTATGCTGATGAATAAGCATTGTCATCTAAATAAGCTCCATTCTTTTCTATCTTTGTTTTAACAAAACAAATCGCTCTTTTTATCTCCTTTACTTTCTAAGCAAGCAAAGGAGTGTAATAAAACATCTTCTTGCATTTACTACTCTGATATGGTTAAATGTACACCTACTTTTCAGATATTGAAAAGTCTAATCTATTTTACAAATCTTGTTCTTAATTGTTAGGTTATATTTCACAATTTATTCCTTCTTAACGTTTTATGAAGTAATGACTTGAAAAAAAAACTGTGTAGTATCGGACATACTACTTGAGAGGTTTGAGTGAAGGCTACGTTTTGAGGTGCTACTACTTGACTCGACTTAAATAAATCCTTTGACGTGTGCAACTTTAAAACACTGTTATCATCTAAGCAATAAAAACACCGCTAATACAGGCAATAAACGAAGACCACGTTTATTTGTAAAAACTAATTTAGATTTCTTAAGACTACGAAACAGGGTTGTTTGGGACAAATGCTCTATTAGATTTAGTTTTCATAAAATACCCAACTTAAACCACGAAAAAAAAAACATTTTATCTTTGGTGATCTTAATTGTTTGTTGTTTTTGTCTTCTATAAGAAATGAATATTAATAATAACTAGATGTATAGAATAACTGTTTACTAGAGTACTGCTCATTGGTTGATGTTCACTTGGAGATGTGTTCACAAATCGAAACATATAATTTTCCGATTACGTATGTAGCTCTTATAAGCCTTTCTTTTTTATAGTGAGAAATTGTCTTGTATATAATATGAGTGGTGGTTGATGTAAATACAACACATTGGAGAAAAAAGGTTTTCCTGTATGTTTACAAACATTTAGATAGAACTTATTAATATGTATATATATATATATGTGTGTGTATGTGTGCAACATCAAATTCATAAATGGATAAAAATCACTGTATATTAATCACATTAGCCCAAAGTTACGTTTTAATTAAGGAAAAAGTAGACTATTATCCTCTTTTGTAATATGATCTAATTTGAGAATTTGACTGTATTTTGTAACCCCTATACAATAGGCTGTCTGGTCGTAGCGAACTGTTAGTTGTTTTTGGTGTGTGTGGTCAGTTAGTTATTTTGTTGTGCTAAAAGGAAAAAAAAAAGCACAACACAGGTGTATTATTCCAGAGGTTCTCTATATTACGAATATACCAGCGTTTAATAGTCTCGTGTTTTCTGTTTGGCTGTATTATCCATCGAACAAATTTAATGATGTAATCAGACATTTTTTGGGATTTTTTTTTCTACATGAAAAAAATAATAATGAAACAGCGCTTTTGACAAATGGACCGGTCTTCATCAGAGGTAATATGCTTAATGAAAACAGGTCCACTTGTTTAAGTTTTGTTATTTTTACCCAACTTTTTTTATTATACGTGTATTTTTACTACCACTGTGAATTTTATTTTAATATTAAACAGTGTAATTTGTTTATCGTATTCGACGTTAGTGACAAAGTAGTGCTTGGCTTAAAGCCCCTCTTGATTGAGAGAAACAACTGTTGTTCTTGAAGTTAAATTATATCAAATTCATGGATATCAATACGTTAGCTTCTCCAAAATCAATATTAACACGTTGGTTGCCTTGACACGCTGGCACTACATATTTTCTACAGCAATAATTCTGAGTCTGTCCTGTGAACTAAGGTTTCACTCGAAATGAAAAGGTTATTTTATCTTTTGGACACTTACTGAACTATATAACACTTGCATCATTAATGTGTACTTTATC